CCGACGTCGCGCAACGTAAGGATACCGAGAGGGCTCTTTATTCAGAAGGATTAGATGGATTTTCCATGTCATCCTGAGCCTTTAATTTATTATACAAAGGCTGTCAAGAAAGTGAAATCACCACCTGAGGAAAACAGTGCAAAGAACCAACTAAATCCTCACTGTCCTTCTTCCTGAAGGAAGACTACCTGGTTGGCAGTGGTGAAATGGGGCATTTACAGCATCTTTTTTCTAATAGGTAAGGACAGGCCCCAAAGATGTGCAGACCTTCTTAGTCACATGAGCCTTTTGGGGTCTATTTTCTCTAAGTGAACCAGAGGTTTCAGCTGCTCAGCAAAGTTCCTCATGTCATCAGAGACCATGTCCTGCCCAGCCGGTGCAACAACACTTAATTCCACAAGATAGGAGAGCGACAAAGCCTCAGTACTATCTGTGTTCCCTGGCACTAGGATGCGGAAAATCTTGTACACCATAATCTTCATGATGCCCTTACGGAACAAGTGTCCCTTGGCGACAAACTCATGGTCCATGCGGAAGCCCATTTCCATCAAGAAGTCGGTGAGGTTCTCAGATGTGGCAATGTCCACGCAGTTTCTCACTAGGGCATGGCGGTTCTTATCTCCCATTTCTGGCTGTCCTAGGTAGCGTAGATGCCAGGGTGCCCCTGCCCTGTCCATAGAGCGCCGAGCCCTCAGAACAAATGGGCTGGCTTGCTGACCCTTAAGGAGAAACACCATTTCATGGTCAAGGAAAGTCTCAGGTTCCATGTTGTCACACAAACCACGAAGGCGGTGGATGAGGCTTTCCAAACTGTGATCTAAAACACTTCCTGAAGAGGGAAAAAGCACTACTGAGTCCCATCTTTCATTCTGGGTCATGGAATTAGCAAAAGATTGAAAAAACTTAAATGAAAAGCCAAAATAGTTTAATGTAATTTAGTGAATTGAACATATTCACATAACTCTACTTACAAGACAGGCATATATCGAACATATCAGAGTAGGTGTCTAGAGCGTAGAGGGAATGAGAGTAGAACTTATAAATAAAGAGGAAGACTGCAAAACAAGAAAGGGGTTTGCCTGAATCATTACACTAATATGCTGTGAAAGAGGAATAAGATTTACTTCTGCAATCTGCAATTTGGGGGAGTGGGGGGGAAGGTGGGGGAAATTGTTTTGCAAACATGTAGGGGAAAGCCAAGAAAAAGATCCTGGTGCTTGTGAAACGAGCTAACTAACTTGGGAGTCACTCTGTCTTGGAATTTATCATGGTGCGATAATACTATCCTTATCGTTTAAGGCAGTTTTGGATAGGTTATCTGTTACTTGCAGCCCAAAGCATCCTAACAGAGGACATTCAGTTCACATACTCTCTCGAGTGATAAACTTAGATTCAAAGAGAATTATGAGTTGTCCAATGGAGTTCAGCTGAGATGATAACTAAGTGGAGGTTCCACAGGAAAATAAAAATTTTGAGTAACCTACAATTTTTAGCAAACCACACACTCTCCAGGGTTTTAAAAACTCTATTACAAGTATTAAAATAACATTTATCCCACTAAGAACTGTTACTTTAAGAAAATTCATTAAGTCGAATGTTAAGTGGGAAAAGTTATAAAGAAGCTCTTTACAAATTAATACGGAAAAGACAAACAATAATCAGTAAAGAAAAGGGAATTCACATAAGATGTCCAATAAATATTTTATTTTTCCTAACCACTAGACCACCAGGGACCAATAAACACTTAAAAATTTAAAACTTGCTGATTAATACTTTTTAAAAAAATTAAAACTAGTTACCATTTATCATCAAATGGGAAAAACAAATTTTCATGGCAAGACCCAGTGTTTGCAATGGTGTTGGAAACTTCATTTATAGTTGGTAGGAATAGAAACTGGGATGTTGTTCGAAGGTATTTGGTAATGCGTGGCGGAAGTCTTACAATAGTGCTTACCCTTTGCAGTTCCCTAGACTTTATCCTCAAGAATAATCACAGATGTCAACAAAGATTTAATTAAAAGCACTACTGTTATAGGAATGTTAATAAAAGCAAAAAATTGGGTTCAAACTAAAAATCCAAAAGTAGATTGCAGTGTGCTATGACGACACGACTGCACTCTATTCTGGGCAACAAAGCAAGACCCTGTCTCACAAAAAAAAAAAAAAAAAATCCAAAAGTAGACAAATCAATTAATTTATGGAAAATACATATGATAAAATACAAATAGTAATTAAAACTGTCAATATTTAAATACCAGATCTGCCAAACAGTAGCTGAATAGCCTAGGGAAAGTTAATTAATCTCTTTGCACCTCAGTTTGCTGTTTGTTTGCTTTTTTTTTTTTGATACAGTCTCACTCTGTCGCGCCAGCTAGAGTGCCACGGCATCAGCCTAGCTCACAGCAACCTTGAACTTCTTGGCTCAAGCGATCCTCCTGCCTCAGCCTCCCGAGTAGCTGGGACTACAGGCATATGCCATGATACCCGGCTAATTTTTCTATTTTTAGTAGAGAT